CTTGAATCCCACATTAACTGTTTGATCATCAAGTCTAAGGTTCGCACATCGAGGCAAGGGTTCTTTCAAGTCAACAGAAACCAAAAGCCTCATGATTCTGCCTCCATGGCTACCTGCACCCACAATGACTACATTCTGAACTTGTTCGAACACCTTGCCAATTTTTAGTCCAACTTCAGTGCTGAGCCAATCTAAAGGAACATTGAAAGCTTGGACCCATAATGAGAGTTCTTGAAAGGTGGGGTGATTGATTGAAAGGCCTCTTTTCCATTCTGATAGTATAAGATATTGGTTTTCATATGTCCAATTGATACCTTTGGCAACTTTGTCTTTGTCTTCTTTGCTCTGAAAGATGAACTGGTAATAGTTTGGCCCCAATTCCTTCACCTCCATGGGTTGATTGAGCCTCCAAATGTGGCCCATAGCCCGCTTAACCCCAATCCAACTGGTCTTTCTATCGCCAACCAATTTCCCGAACAAGCTACGTTGACACTCTTCCGCACTAAGCTTTATGTCATCCTTGCCGAGATCAATGAATTCATTTTCCTTAGCTGATAATGACACACTTTGAAGTTTTTGAGCTAACTCTTCATCTTGTCCGATGCTATTATGGGTCTCCATGAGTAACCCTAACTGAATACAGTAGGACTTCAAGTGTAGATAAATTGAACACTATAACTACCGAGAAGAAGTGAGGATCGAAAGAAAGATAAGGAGGTCGGAAATGGTCACCAGAAAATCGCTCTTCACCTCCATGGGTTGATTGACTTTAGTGAAATCTTTTGTAATATTAAGGGGTATGGGGTGTATTCACCTTGGACTTTTTAAAACCTTTTAAAAGTTTAATGATTTACTTGAAATTTTAAAAAGTCAATAGCTAATCAATTTATTTATCACTTGGATTTGTCTGGATTTTGTAAGAGTTATTGAGGTTTCACAAATACAAATCATATATGAATTAACACCACATCGCATCTTCAAACATAAGATTTTCAAGAATTTCTCTTAAATATGAAAGCCTTAAAAAGTCTGATATTTAAAAAATAAAATAAAATTAAAATGTCACTTATAATCCCAAACAAATATGCTCACCCTCCTAAATATGAGATTTATTAGTAGAATTTGGCATATGTAATTTGTGTTTGAAATTTAATCAAATCTTAATAAATCATAATAATTTCTCAGTTTTAAAATAAATTAAATATTTCGCGAATTTTTAAGACTTTTAAAATTTTCATTAAGATAACACTTGTTAAAGACTAAACTAAATACAACATAATTTTCAAAATCTGTAAAAATACTAAATGAATACATACNTAGACAAAAATATGGAAAATGTTGAAAAGAACAACATCAAAACAAAGCAAATGACCAAACCTCAACCCACATATTTCGATGTAAAATCCTTTGCTTGTTCATGTCAAATTCAAACACTGAAAGTGGTTGTTTGGTATTTTGTGATGACAAAAATAAATGAGACACATCAAGATTTCAACGACATCAATGGTTGAGGTAATTTTATTAGTGTTTAATGCTACGGGTAATCAAAATAATTAAGTAATTATTGGTAAATAGCTTTAATTTTTATTCTTGAAGTGAGTATTTCTGAATAAGATATGACTGGTAATTATGAAATTAGTCAAATTTGAAAACCATGATCAAAATATACAATAATATATAAAACCAAAATTGAACAAAATATTATTGGACATATATTATTTTGTAATTATCATTCTTCCTTTCATTTTAGTGAAGCTGCAAGGGGACACTTCTCTGCCCACTTTTTAATGCCTCTGCAACTTATGGACAAAAGCTTGCAATTACTTGTGAATGAAAAAACTGTTCACAAACAGTAGCTTGTTCAGCTAATTTCTTGAAAATGCTGATTCACACCCATACCCATACACAGTGTTGACTTGAGAATGCCTCATAACCTATTCAAACAATCTTTACCAAATCCATGTAAGAAATAAAATAATAATAAAACCTAGCTAGCTAATTGTAGACTACTTGACTCTTGATATTATTTTTGAATAAAATATATATTTGTGACATAAAAATATCAAACTTATATTTATGTTATTTTTTATTTCAATATTTTAGTTTAAAAGAAAGTGTAAATATAAATTGACAAATTGTTAGATTAAAACAAGCTTAGACTGCCATTGTATTAGTATACAAGAATTTTTTTTTTTTGTTTTTTCACCCATGATTTATATTTCTGAAAATAATATATATTTTCTTACAAATATTTTGCTTTACGAAAATGATAGTATTCCAACAGAAAATCTTAATTGAAATTTATTCCTATATAATTTTAATTCTGTTATTTTCATTGAAATAATTCCCATGGAAAAATTCTAACGAAAATTTTCCTTGGGGATTTTTTTTTAGATTTGACGATTCTAACAGTAGATCGGTTGAAATATGAGTAAAAAAGACGTGAATGAAAAAAGTGTATTCCGACGAAAATTCTTAAAACATTAAAGTATTGTAAAATGATTGTTGGAATCATCAAACTCCGACTAAAATTTCAAGAAAAATATAATTCCAATTGAATATGTTAGTGTTGATTTTCGTTTGAAAAATGTTTCATTAGGATATTTTGCTGTTAGAAAACGGTAATTATTGTTTTTTCGCTACAAACCCCACTAACATAATTAAAATGACAATAAAATAATAATTATTATGTATTTTCGACAAAAAAACACTATTTATATGTTCACATATTTCTAACTAGCGATCCTAACATATAACATTAATCATTTTATATCACATCAATTTTAATTATTATATTTATTCTATATTTATTCACAATTTTATATTTTTCTCACATTTTCTGAAATTATTTTTTCATTGTTCATCTTGAGGGTGCTTGGACAAGGATTTTCCAATTATTTTCCGCCAATCACTTTTTTTAACTCAAAATTTAACTTAAGCCAACTATTCTCAATATTATTAAATAATATCAATCAATGATACTCATCACATTTATTTTAATTCAGTATTTATTCACTCACATAATTTTAACTACTCATCACTTCCAATCGTATTTCTCATACTTTCACAAAGTGTTTTAAATACCGTACCGGTAATTATACTGGACGAGTCACCGCTACACAGATCAACCGGTTTTAATAAATATGAAATTTATTTATTATTAAAATATAAATAATATTTCAAACTAATTTAATAAATACTGAATTTAATTAAAATCTAATAACAATGTAAATATACAAAAATTAAGTGTAGAATTTTCAATTTATGTAAATAAGTCAATAAAAATATATTAAAAATATTTTTTTAAATCCGGTCAAATCGGTATATTGACTGGTATTATGGCCGGTATTTTCTGGTAATCTGGTCTAAAGCGGTATTTTGACCAAAACGTTGTTTAGATGGTAACCGTACCGACTGTTACGGTACGGTATTTTAAACATTTTTTTTACAACAAATCTATTTTAGTTATTTTGTTTTAAAAGTTATTTTTATACAAATTCAAAATTCAGTCAAACTTAAGTACGTAACTCAACCAACTTTTTAAAAAACCAAAAAATTAATTAAAACAAAAATATTCAATCAAAAACTTATATATATCCAGACAACCCCTTGCATTTATAAATGAGATAATTTTTTTTTTTAAAAAAAAGTTATATCAATAAAGTCTCCAGTACAAACCATTTGCTTCAATTTTAAACTATAGAGTTGGCGGTGGACTGTTAGGCCAAAATGTCTCAAGATAAAATATTTATTATAGCATTTCTGCATGCGACGTTAGAAACTTTCGAAAGAGCTTTTGCAACTTTTCAACCTTTAATTTTTTTTTTTCCCATTTGTTGTTTTTTCTTTTGAAGACATGGGTGGGCCTCGATCTTTGGAATTTCGTTTTCTCTCTCTTTTAAATATTTTATTATTATTATATTAGATTTGGAGTAATGTCTTTGCAAATTTTTAAATGGGCAAAAGTTATTTTGCATATGACTTTAATGGGAAAAGTTGAAGAGAGTTGCGGCATCCACAAAGTTGGATTGACAAAATACAACTTACATAAGCCAAAATCATTAAATATTTTGTTGGATAAATTTAATAGTACAACTTTCTTTTAAGTATCAAGCACGCAACACTGAAATTGAGCTACTTCATTTAGATTCAGTGGTTTGTTATTGCGGTTGTGACTGAGCTCAAAAGAAACGTAACATTCTTTTTAATTATAAGTCAGTATAATTTACCCAAACACCCCTGACATGAGTTATATTCAAGCCCAACTCTAGAAAAAATATTATTTGAATGGAACTTTAATTATTATTTAAAATTCGAACAGAACTCAAGCAAAATTTGAGCATTTGTTTATTTGTCATCATAATCATAATAATTACAAGACAATGTTTTCCAACAGTGTACCTAAGTTGGAGTGTTACATGATCCTAGTCAATGATTTTTTCAAGACACAATTTATTATTCAATGTTCTGAGTAAATAATAAATTTTACTGAACCGATTGGATAATAAAATGGTGACAATTTTCTAAATCTAGGAAAAAAATGCCAAGTATAAAATCTTTTTTTGAATTTTGTAATATAGTTTTTCTTGCAAGTTACAAGTCATAAGAATCTTTTGATTCAACTATTTCAAACTCATACCATGAAATGAAACTGACAATTCAAAGGCTGAAAATTGGAAAAAGAAAGAAAAAAAAAATGTACAGAGAAGAAAGAAAAATTAAAGATAGTCCCAAGAACACAGCTGATTGCTCATCTCATTAAACCTATTCACATGCCTCTTTGTGGCCTTTCAGTAGCACACTTTCTGGCCTTTTACCCTACACTTGCATATACATATCATCTCATTGGAATATACACTTAATTTTAATTATAAAACCAGAGAGTGAGAGAGACAAACAAGGCAAAGCAGTGACACCTCTGATTAAAGTCTTGTAAAGTTTTTTCTTCCTTAAAAATAAAAGTTAAAATACAGCACAATACAAGCCCCTGTCAAACCCTGCTTTTTTCACCTCTCTGTTTTTCTTCTCTGTCTATATATTAATTTTTTACCGTACTTAGATATCTGAGCTCCTTTAATTTTTTTTACTTTACCTNTTCTATTCTACTACCAAAGCCCCAAAAGTAAACCCCCAAAGAAGGGGAAAAAAAAGAAAGAAAGAGTCTCATCCATCAACTCTGATTGGAAAAAATTCTCCACAAGTCAAAGATTTTTTCTTCAATTTCCTTTTCTCATCATTCTTGACTCTAAAAACAACCATGGATGTAAGCTGCTGTCGTATATATTTACTTTTCCCCTTATATTTCTCTTTATTCTTTCTCTGTTTTTTTTTTTTAAAGAAAAATCATTTTTTTTGAAAAAGCTGGAAACTTTGGTTCTTGGGCAGCGTGTAATATGTGTGTATGTTTGATTTTAATAAAAAAAATGCATGAAATGTGCAGGAATTTTACTTCCAGAGGACGGGCCATGTGCCGGCGTTCGGGAGCTGGGAATGCTACAGTGACCTGCCGTTCACTCAATGCTTTGAGTCGGCCACGCAAGCCGGCCTCTTTCGCTACACCTACTCCGACCACCGTGACCTGTACGTGGCAGGCGACTTGTACGAGAATGACATTTGTACCCCTGCCATGATTGTTGTCCCTCGTCATACGGTAAAAATCCTCTTAATACAGCTCCATGTTTTTTTTTGATAAATCATTGAACTAGTAACAGGAAAAATCCAATCTTGATGCCATTATTCATGAAATTTAATGAAGAATGTTAAAATGCAGGTTTCTTTTTGTCTAATAGGGTTATGTAATGATGAACCTTTTCCTGGCTGAGTTTTAGTTGTTTATTTGATTTAATGTGAATGTGTGGACTAACTGGGAGTTGGGTATGTAATTCTGGATTTTGCAGGGTAAAAAAGGGTACCCAAAAGAGAAAGAAGTTGAAAAAGGGGAGGATAGTTGGGTGGGGTGTAACTGTGAGTGTGAAGTGAAAAGAGGTGGAAAAATTGCACCTAAAGCTGTTGATGAGGACTTGTACAAGATTTCACCTCATCTACTACGCCAGCAAGCCAAAAGGGTACTAAAAAAGTTGCAAATTTTCCTTAATGCTTGCAAATATCATTATATTAGATGAATTTTAGGTAAAAAAATATGTGTTGTGGGGAGAGGCTTCAAGATCATTCATTTTTCTCTTATAATTCTTGAAATTCTTAGAAATTCCTCGAAAGGAGATACATTTTGGCTTTACTTTAATAATAATCTCCACTGTGATTTGTTGGTTTAGGAGTTGAGCTTTAGAAGTATTAAGCAAAGTTATCTGTCCTCTGCTCAGTTTTTTCCCTTAGGTTTTCAATTCTGATCTTGAAAACAGAACACTTGAAGACAAATAGAGGTGTACCATTGAGCAGATACTGATTAGAGTAAATAAATACAAATAACAATGAATGCAGGACCCAAACAACAGTGGCAGATGATAATAATAAAATAAATCTGATTAAACAGTTCGTGTTATTTTTATTTTTATTTTCATTTTTATTTTTATTTTTGTTGCAGAAGAGAGGATGGGGCATCTTTTCAAGCTGCCTCCGGCCCACATGTGTCTGTTAAGACTTTCTTTGCCCTTAAATATAAATATATCAGAATCTAAGCCAAGTATTATGCAGGTTGTTAAATTAGCTTTAAAAAAAAGAAGAACAAAAAAATATAGTATATGTGGAGGTCCTAGAAGATAATTCTCATCATTATCATAAACATTATGACTAACGGTATCTATGATGGGGATGTTATCATGTTGCTGTTTCCTATGGTTTTTGACAAGCCTTTCTGTGGTAGATTTATTTGAGTATTGTAATTTGTAAGCTAAGGAACAACATTATGACTGGAAATCCTAAAGTTAATCTTGACCGTGCTTTGATAAAGTACACCTTGCTGTTATTATACTGTCACACACACTTATTTTTTATTGTAAAGCTAGTCCTGTGATATCTTTTGCTTTAAAAAAACTGTGAAATATGATCCATTTAGTATTTGAACAAAAAAAATCACCAACTAAATTGGACCGCCCGGTACGATCGGGAAACCGGCCGTCACAAAAACTAACATAGATGTTGTGAATCTGTGATCATGATCGAAATGAAATTTGTTACACATGTCATTTCACTTATTCAAGGTTTCATTTTCATTCACCAACAAAATTAACCAGAAACAGGGCAACTCTGAGGTACATAAAACACATTTTTCCTTGTTTTTCTCTACACATGATTGAAATCGGGCATTCGTTTCCAATAATAGTTTCTTAATTGAGATTAAAATTAAAAAATAATATATATAGTACCCAAGGTGAAGGAGGGTAGTTTATTTATTTAAAAAAGAAAAAAATCAAGTGGACAAAAGAAAAGAGTGAAAAAAATAAAAAGGACGTATTTTATGAATACGTTTTTCTAATAACATTTTATTAGAAAAACATATTCATAGAATATGTTTTTTATTTAATTTTAAAAATTTTAATTTCCTTTTAAAAAGAGTCGAATTGAATAAAAATTAATAATCATAAAACGTATTTCACAAATACGTTTAAAAAACCCTAAAATTGATTTTAGGGTTTTGAAAAACAGATTTTGTTAATACGTTTTTTATTTATAAAATTTAATTAAAAAAAATCTTTTAAATCGTATATTTTTATTACGTTGTTAATTAAATAAAAAATATAAAAAATAATTAAAAGCATATAAGCATAATACGGTTTTAAATGCAATTTCTTAAAAAAAAAATATAAACGTATTCTATAAATACGTTTTATAATTAAATATGTATAAAACGTATTATAGTAATAAGTTTTACAATGAATAAAAATCAAATTTTCTTCTCTTCTTCTCTATTTATGCGCGACCATTCACTTCACAGAGAGCGAGAGCGGGAAAAAAAAAAAAAAAACCTCGATCCAATCGCCACCCCGACGTGAATCGAAAACAACAACACGAACCGCATTTTCGGTTAATTCATTCGCACGAGGTATATTGGCTAATCTAACTTTTGACATTGTTTGGATTTGTTTGGAGATTAGGAATTGTTATAGTATTTTTGAATGTGGTGGTGTTTGAAGATTGAGAATTGTTAATTTTTTATCGATTATGTGTGTACGTTGAATTGGAGATTGGAATTTTGTTGGAAATTGTCAATTGCGTATTGATTGGTTGTTGTTGGACTTAGGGTTTTTGAAATTAGGGTTAGAATTAGGGGTTTTAATTTATTCGAAATATAGATTAATTGTATGTTATTGTTGGATTATGTGTATTAGGGATTTGGAGGATTTTGGGTGTTGGATTAGACATTATATGGTGTTGTAATTGGGAAGAATTGAATTTTTTTTGCAACACGAATAAATGGCGTATTGCGGTCCATATTTTGTTAATTTGTATTGGCGATGTGCGAAAAAACAATTTGTTTCATTTATAGATCGTCCGGATGTTTCATTTGTTATTACGAGAAGGATATCATATGGAGAATTGATACAGATGAGTAATGGAAATTGTCGGTTTGGAGAAGGTTGGACAATTCAACAGATTACTTTAATGTTTCATCAACCTGATGGTTCGTGGAATGCCGGAAGACTCGATAACGATAGTGCTATTCAGTGGATTTATTTCTCTCCTCCTATGTCCATTGTGTATTTGCATTTATCGTTGGAGGCAATTACACCGGTTCCACAGTTTGAAGATTTTACTCCTTATTACGGGGGAGTGGATGCTGTTGAGGGCACGTCGACTTCTCATCTACGTAATTTTGGAGAAGGGACAAGCTCACAATGGTCAAATGAGGACGGGGAAGAAAGTGACGAAGATTTTATTCTCGGTGAAGATGATTTCACAGACGAGACCTCAGAAACCGAATCAGATAGATCGGTAAATAAGGAGAATGAAGCCGAGTTCATTGAAGAAGAACACCCCTTTCCTAGTGGTGGTCGGGACCTATACTGTGAGATGGGTGAATGGGAGCCGTCCAGGATAGATGAGGACGAGTATGCTATTCCACTCTGGAACGACGACATTGAGACCATACGTTTGGGTATAGTTTTTAGGAGCAAGCAAGAAGCCCAAACGGCTCTAATGGCTTGGAACGTCGATATGTTGTGGGAGATTCGGATAAATGATTCAAATCAAAAGTCATACAAAGTGGTCTGCAGATCTAGAGATCCGCCTTGTGTGTGGAAGGCTCGGGTGACTAAGTGCAGAGGGGTTCATGATTTGTGGGAACTAACTGAATGGATCGATAGACACACTTGTATGCAGCGGGTCGAGAGAAATGACCACAGAAATGTAACCGCCCAAATGATTTCAAATCTCATTCATAATAAGATTCGAAAGAAAGTGGAGTACGGTGTCTGCATGATCCAGGTTGATGTGAAACAGTGCTGGAAAGTAGATGTGAGCTACAAGAAGGCATGTCACATAAGGAAAAAAGCCATCAAGAGTGTGTATGGCACTTGGGAATCGAACTTCGCAGAACTCCCTCAGTAAGCAAAAATTGATTACAAATATATGTGTTGTTTGTCTGTCACTATGTTTATCTATTTATTATGAAACCGTTTTGTGATGTGCAGGTATTTTGCCGCGCTTCAAAGAACCAATCCCTCCACAGTTGTAGAGTGAGAATGGCAGGGTGGGGAAATGGCGCGACACCTTCGAGACAGACAATTCAAATTTGTATTTTGGGCGTTTGGTCCCGCCATTCAAACTTTCAAAATGTGCCCGCCGGTTATTAGCGTCGATGGCACACATTTGCGTGGATCCTACAACGAAAAATTGCTTATGGCCATAGCACAGACTGCGAATAAGCGGTTATTGCCAATCGCGTATGCGCTTGTCGATGAAGAAAGCACAGACAGTTGGTCATTTTTCCTTAAGAATCTGCAGCAACATGTAGTCTTCCAAAGACGTATCTGCGTTCTTTCTGACAGGGATGCGGGCCTACTCAGTGCCATTGAATCATTAACAGAATGGCAAGAACCCGTTGTGTATCATCGGATTTGCCTTCGACACCTTCGAAGCAACGTGGTGACTGATTTCAGGAGTAAGAAAATTCGGACTTGGTGTTGGGAATTGGGTTCGAAATTGTCGGAGCGGAAGTTTCGAGACACAATTACCTTTTTCGAATTCCTTTGGAGAAGTGGACCCTGTTTAAAGATAATGGACGCAGATGGGGCACATTGACAACGAATATGTCGGAGAGTTACAACAACGTCCTGAAAGGGGTTAGGTTCCTGCCTTGCAGAGCTTTGGTAGACGCCACATTGCATAAAACTCTGGATTTGTTTCAACAGGAACAAAACAAGTCCACGAGATGCAGGACTCCCATTGCTATGGAGCAATATAACGCATTTTTGCAATTGGAGCAGACAGGCGCCACTCATAATGTCCGTGTTAGGGACGCCGACAGCTCCATGTACGAAGTGGAAACCGATTTACGGGCGAGTGGAAGAGGGCAAAACAAGTAAGTATATTTTTTTTTTTGTCCATTCAATTTTTTCATATTGTATATATATAAATCACTGGGGAACTATTATACCTATAAGGTAGATTACAACCGTAAATGTTGTAGTTGTCGGAAGTGGCAGACGCATCGGAAACCATGCTCTCATGTGTTAGTCGTCTGTCGTTCAGTTGGGACTGACCCAAAACTGTTGTACAGTGAGTATTTTTGGACGGAGAACTAGGTAGCTCAATTTAGTAATTGGAGTTTTGCTCCGATTGGTAATCCGGATACATGGGCGCCGGTCGAGTGGAAAATTGATACCACACTGGGAGAGGATGATCTTGAAGTCTGGACCCGGTCGCGTGTAAACGAGACGATATCGCATGCAAATGGATCGTCGGGCACGCCGCAGGAGTGATAGGGGACAGTGTTCAAGATGTGGTAATCCCGATCATGTTGTGGATGAGTATTCGTCCTCACATCCTCGCACCGACAGGTCTAGACTTCGTGATGAGTGGGGGAACTAGATTTGTTAGTGTTTATTCGGATTTGTTTGGAGAGTTCATTTGGATTTGGTTGGATTATTTATTTTGTTTTGTTTGGATGGTTTATTTTATTTGAATTTGTTTGGATGATTTATTTGGAATTGTTTGGATGGTATTTACGGTAGATTAGTTGATTTGTTACTGTAATTTTGGTTTGGATGGTATTTTATGCGTTAGATTGTGAATTTCGATTTGCTTTGTTGTTTTGGATTGTTGGAACATGTTTTTTGGGGTGTTAGAATAGAAAAAATTTGTATTTTTTTTTTTTCATATCCCAGTTTAAAACGTATTTTTGAAATACGTTTTATAAATATTTAAATGTAAAACGGATTACAAGAATCCGTTCTACAAATAAATAAATGTACAACGTATTTCTCTAATACGTTTTTTAAAAAAGTGTTAATTGCAAATGAAATCCTAACATTTTGTTAAATTGCAGATAAAACTCCACTTTATAAGTTTGACAAATAAAATACTAACCTTTTCATAAGTGTTGTAATTGTGTCTCAACTGTCACCCGCCGCCGCCAACCGCCACCCGCTGCCGGCCAACTTCGTCGGATGTTGAAAATTTTTACATGATCTTATAGCTCTCGTCCGTGCAGACAACATATCCGAGTTTCACGAAAAAATTCCGACGATAAGGTGATGACCGAAAAAGTCATCACCCGAAAAAGTCACCGGTTCTGGCGAAGGTGGACGTCACTAGATGCGGCTTTGCGAGAGGAGTTCAACAGTACCTTCGGATTCACGTGGGTCAAAGCGAGTCACCGGGAATTTGCGAAAGAGCCGGATAAAATTTGTATATCTACGAGCTTTGACCGGAAAATTGGAAGCCTTATCGTCGGAATTTTTTCGTGAAACTCGAATATGTTGTCGGCACGGAAGAGACCTACAAGATCATATAATAATTTTCAACATCCGGCGAAGTTGGCCGGCGGCGGGTGGCGGTTGAGACACAATTGCAACACTTATGAAAGGTTAATATTTTTTTTGCCAAAATTATAAAGTGGAGTTTTATCTGCAATTTAACAAAAGATTAGAATTTTATCTGCAATTAACCCTTTAAAAAAAAAGTTTATATAATCCGTTTTAAAACGTATAATATAATATAAGATATTTATTATATTATATAGTATATTGTTATATAACATAATAGTATAGTATATAGTATAGTATAGTACATAACATAACAATATAATATATAGTTTAGTACATAACATATAACATATAGTATATATACTAGTATATAGCATATAGTATATAACATATAATATATAGTATATAGTATATTGTATATAGTATATAACATATAACAATAACATATAGTATATAGCACATATAATATATAGTATATACTATATAGTATATAACTCAACTCTCGTGCTTTGATGAGTTTT